CTTGAAAACACTACACTAGGTGAAAGAGGCCAGACACAAAAGGCCACATATACATGATTCCATTTATATGAAATATCCAGAATAGGTAAATCCAAGGAGACAGAAAACAGATTAGTGTTTGTCAAAGGATGGCAGAGGGGAAATGGGGAGTGACTGCTTAGTGAGTACAGACTCTCCTCTTGGGTGATGAAAAAGCTTTGGAACTAGATAAAAGTGATGTTTGGACAACACTGTGAAGGTACTAAATGCCACTGAACTGCACATTCTAAAATGGTTAATTCTGTTATGAAAATATCACCTCTATTAAAAAAGAGTGAGTTTTATTATAAGTAAATTATACTTCCATAAAGCTAACTTTTAAAAAGATAATTAAAATATTCCATAACTTACAAGGAGCTTAAAATAATGGCAGTGGCCTAGGCCTGAATCTCATAATATTCCCTCCAAAAATGACATAGAACAAGGTTTCTCAAACTTGGCACAATTGAAATTAGGCCAGCAGCAACCCCCACTGCCTACTCCCAGTTGTGACAACCAAAAATGTCTCTGTATATTGCATCAAATGTCCTCTGGGGAAAAAAAATCTCCCCTGTTGAGAGCCACTGACACAGAGCAACAAGAGGAGAAAAATAAAACAACACAAGAAGTATGCTCTCAGCATCCCTGAAGATTTATAATATCCAAATATCAAAATTTCTGTAAGCAAAAAATTTAAAAACACCAAGCCCCAGCAAGTGAACGCTCAAACTCCTGAATCATTTCAAAGCTTTGTGGCAAGCAAGGGCAGGCCATGAGAAACAAGGGAATAAAAAGGAACTAAGACAGCTCTAAAATCTGTCAGAAGGGTAAGATGCCTCAAGTATAAAAACACTAAAAAATATCCTGATAGAAATCAGAACACAATATATTACAGAGAAGGGTCTTAAAAGTATATGTGATTTGAACTGTCAGTATCTGAAATTCAAAGCGTCCAAAGGAGGGGGGACAAAAAAAAAGAAGGGAGAGGCACCCTTTTATAAGTAGGTGTACGGAGAGAAGCAAAAAGGGAAAAAATTTAGGGTCCTACCAGGCCCTCAAAACTGGTGTGCACACATGCACACGTGCGCACACACACACACACACGCACACAGAGAAGCAAAAAGGGAAAAAATTTAGGGTCCTACCAGGCCCTCAAAACTGGTGTGCACACACGCACAGGTGCACACACACCCATTAAAATATCTGGACTTTGCTACACTGACAGAAAAGGGTATGTGCCAATGAACTTATAATCTTGTAAATCATCTCATTACCTCAAAAATGAATGGAAAAAAATTAAAGCCATATGTAAATATTACCAAAAAAATCAGAAAATGAGATCCGACATGTTGACAAAAACTCCCCCTGCTGTGGTTTGAATGTTTGTCCCCTCCAAAGCTCATGTTGAAGCTTAATCCCCAATGTGGCCCTTTAGGAGGTGACCAGACTGTACCGGCTCTGCCCTCATGAATGCATTAATCCACTTGTGGATTAATGGGTTATTGGATTAACGGGTTATCATGGGAGTGGCACTAGGGGCTTTTTAAGAAGGGAGACCTGAACTAGCATGTGAGCATGCTCTTGCCCTAGCTGCATGATTCTCTGTTCCACCTCAGGACTCTACAGAGTCCCCACCAGGAAGAAGGCACTCACCAAGATGGACTTCCTAGCCTCCAAAACTGTAAGAAATAAATTCCACTTCTTTCTAAATTACCTAGTTTCAGGTATTCTGTCAGAAGCAACCAAAAATTGACTAAGACATCCCCCCCCAAACAACAACCATGAATGAAAAGAAAACTCAATTAAATATACTTAGCCATATATTTGCGGATGTGAAAAACTATCCTGAACAAAAACTCAAAAATAAAAACAGGAAGAAATGAAGGAAAGGACATAAAACAGGATATTAACTGCAAATGAAAAACAGTAACTTTACAGTGGAGAAACATAAGCTAACATTACAAGAAATGAGATATACTGACATCACGGACCTCCAAATATGACAAACTGAGAAGAGCACATTATATGTGCATTGTTACCAAAAATGAAAAACCTGAACCGAATCATAAAGAAATATCAGAAAAACCCAAATGGAGAAATATTCTGCAAAGTAACTGGACAGTACTCTTTAAAAATATTTAAGTGCTGACTGTTTACTTCAGTTGGTTAGAGCTCAGCCTTGTAACCCCAAGGTTAAAGGGTTCAGATCCCCAAACCACCCAGCCACCAAAACACAACAACAACAAGAACAACAACAACAAAATATTTAAGTCATAGGTGCTGATAACACCAAGGTCAAGAGTTTGGATCCCCTATCAGCTAGCTGCCACAAAAAGAGAAAAGATAAAAATATTCAGCTCATAAAAGACAAAGATAGACTGAGGAACTAACTGTCCTAAACTGAAGGAGGGTAAGGAGACATGACAACTAAATGTGATTTGTGATTCTGGATTGGATCCTAGAGTAGAAAGTAAACATTTGGGGAAAAAAATTGGTGAAATATGAATAAGGTCTAATTAGTTCTTAGTACTGTATCAACATAATCCCTGGTTTTTATTACTCTCCAATGGTTATGCAAAACGTTTAAACTGAGAAAGCTTGGTGAAGGCTGTATGGGAGGTGTACTAATTTTGCAACGTTTTTTGGTCTGAAAAATGCAAAGTTAATTCTTCCAATTCAAATCCAACCCCACAGGGATCTTCTCCTATGATTTTGTGTAATAGGCTTGGCATTATCTAGTGAAGTTGAACTTAAGGCACAACCTAAGACTCCACCAATCCACTTCTGGGTACAGACTCAACAAAACTGTCTTCACAAGAGTACTAAGAGATACATGAATGATCACAGTGTCATTACCCATAAAAAGCTGTGCAGGAAAGAGTTAACGTAGTGGGCCTGCTATCCTTTGAGAAGTCTGCTTGTGAGGTTGGCCTTTGGCTTGTGTCTGGGAACTTGGATTTCAGGATACATCATTCTCTGGTCAGAACGGCTCACAGTGCCTAAACTCTGTGAAAATAATATGGTCTATGCCAAATACCGGCTTCCTTTCTGGGAGTCAAGAATTTTGGTACATGCTAGGCAGAGGGTGTCTTGGGTGCTGAGTCTTTAATGAGCTTTTCTAGTTGACAACACTTCACACGTGTTGTCACAACTCATGGGTGGGAGAATTAAGCACACTCTGTGTGACTCCACTGCAAGAGGGCTCTTGGAAGCATGTGCCTGGCTTCTTCTAGACTTTGCCCCATGCGCCTTTTCCCTTTGCTGATTTTGCTTTGTTTTCTTTCACTGTAAAAAATCATACCCATGAGTATAACTATATTATGACTATATGCTGACTCCTGTGAGTCTTCCTAGTAAAGCAACAAACACAGGGAAAGTGATGTTGGGGACCCTCCTCACCAGAGCTGGTATCAGAAGTAGGTCTGCTAGAACAACCGTGACTCACTGAAAACACTGTTTGTGAAAAGGAAGAATGACGGGGTTGGGCATGACAAACATCTGGTGCATGGGCAGGCAAGGGTGTCATCCATGGTATAAAACAGCAGCTGAGCTGCATGTCTGTTAGAAGAGGTAAAAGTTACCTATGGAATTTGAAAAAAATAGATCCAGCTTCAGGAGAGTGATCCAGCTGGATCCCCTGGCTGCCTTTGGCCATGTTGGGCCAAAAAAAAAAGTGAGGGGAGAAAAGGGCAGCCCAGGAAATGCCTCTGGTTTTTGTTTGCTCCTCCAGGTAGAAGGAAAAAGGGCCCACAATTTCCCAAAGGTGGGCTTTGGGTTGAACAAAATGTTAAAAGTTTACATGGTTCTCTCTTCCAAGTAGGAGGAAAAAAATTAAATGAATTCCAAAGGGCTGAAGCAAAGTTTTAGAAAAACCGAATGCAAAAAAGGGGGGAAAACACCCCAGCCAGTAGCGGCCACAGTAGCCTCCCTGACCCAGCCTTCTGCATTCCAGCCAGAATCTCCCCCTAGCACCTATAACATTAACCCTGTAAAAGTTAAATTTACTGAATTTGGGGGTTTGGATAATTTTGCAAAAAGACTTAAAACAGGTAATGGGGTGGGGAACTTGTTTTTAAAATGGCTTTCTGCTTTGTGGCTATTGCATCTCGAAGTATAATAAAACTGTAAAGAAATAAATATGGTAGTTTTGAATACTTGAAGATAAAACTTATCTTTGCCTCAAAAACTCCATGTCAAAATGGAACAGCAAATAACGAAATTGAAAAAAAATTTGCAATAATGCATACAAATTAAGAAGAAAACAATACCCTTAATAGACAAAAAGGAGAAAGAGCACAAATAAGCACTCATCCCCACATTCTCAAGAATACAAATAACCAGTAAATATCTGGTGACAAAAAGTATAACTTTAAATGAGATACATTTTTTCATATATAAAACCGGCAATTAAAAAAGGTATAAATTACCAAGGGAAATGCACATCTTTACATCCTGAGTTTAGAAGTGAAAATGGCATTCCTTTTGGTAGGAACAGACAATATGAACCAAAAGTCTTAAAACGTGTATATGGTTTGACTTAGCAAAGGATTTTATTCAGTGTTTATAAATAGTGAAAAACTATAAACAATGTACAGGTCTAACCAGAAATGACTGATTAAATGAACTATGGATATACTTAAAATGGAATAACTACAACTATTAAATATACTATTATTATATAACAATACTGAAAATACTGACATTTATAACATATTAAATGAAAGAAAGTCAAACACAAGCTTCATGAAGTCAGAAATTTTGTGTTTTCTTCACAGTTACATACCCTGCATGGAGAACCATCTACTATCAGGTCAATAAAGTCAATACATATTTGCTAAATGACCCAATGAAAGATGTTACAAAACAAGCAAAATGGTCTCACCTCACTCACTCACACTTCATATGGGAGAGGATAAAATCTGGCAATAAGATATACACCAAAATGTTAATGGAACTATCTCTAAATGATGGGAATTGTGGGTGATATTTATTTTATTGCTGGCTGATATTACCTATATAAATTTTACAATGAACATTTAGTATCTTTCTCCGCCAAATAAATGCACATGCTCATGTTTTTAAGTGGATCTACAGGGTACCATGGATGGGGGTGGGGGTAAAAAGAGGACTTAATGCATTTTAAAGAGTTCTGAATGTTTGGTTTATTTTTAACTAGTACATAAAAGTGATATGTGGTTCAGACAAATCATGAAATGAGAAGACAGATGACTGGAAAATTTACTCAAAACCTATAAAGAATATTCCCATAACACCCCCGTCAAGCCCCTCCACTCACCCTCTCTCCCGTTCCCAGCTTTCACTGACACTCCAGCCTGTGATATTCTAATTACAAAGCAGGGGAAAAATCATGGATTTTATATTCATAATTGTCCTAGTAATCATCCTCATTAAGACTTGTAAGAGGTTGCGAATTCAGCTTAGAAAACCTATGTCCCAGAAAATTCAAATAATGATGATGTCTTCTCTTAAATAAAAATCTGTAATTATTGTATCATATATTCCAAGTTGCATAAGAAAGAACTTACCCACAAACTCGCAGTATTTTTTATAATCAGCAGGAAATTTTCTTAAATGCAAATGATAGAAGTTCTCTTTATTTGGAGAGTTGGCCCATTCCTGTGCCACCTATACAAAGCAAAGTGGCAAATTTTAGAAAGCAAAACCATTCTGGAAAGCCACGCTAAACGCAAAAATTTCTAAAGGAAGCAACAGTAAAATCCAGAACCTAGAGCCCCAGATGACAGAAACTAAAAATTAATTTGTGGCAGTTTAATTAAATTAAATGATAAAAATATTTCCACATTTTTTTCCTAGAATTGACTTATCCAATTCAGTATCTATAAGCTACATGTGGTTAATTAAAATTTTTAAAATTAAAAATTCTAAATCTCAGTTGAACTAGTCACATGTGCAGTGCTCAAGAGCCACCTGTGGTAACACTATATGCTGTATAAAGTACCATTGGACAGCTCTGAGACAGTGCCATTTCCCAAACAGATCATCTCACAAGTTGAAAAGGACCTAGATATGGTGCAAAACTTTGGGATGTCTCACCAATCCTTTTGGGATTTCTCCTGCCAGTTTCTAAAATGCTCTGTACCCATCTTTCAATTTGCCAAAGCCCCAAACTCAGAAGTACACTTGAGGATCTTCTGAGAAAGAGGACTACACCCAACCCAAAATTCAGACAGGAGACTACTAGTGTAAATAAATCATTTTACGTTTCAATTTTTAAAAAACAAATTACCTGTTGGGGCCTAAGAACGGTTTTATCTAAATGTAACAGTTTGGTTATTAAGTATTTACATCTATAATTGGCCTTCAATCCTCTGATAAAACATCATGAAAGACTACTGGTGCTGGGCTGCTTCTGCACTAAAGTTAACCAACCAAGACTCCACAATGGTTATGCTATGGGAAGAGGGGGAAAAAAGAACAATGAACTTGTGTTATTTGCTAATGAGGTCAGATGCTGGTCCATGACAGCTATGATCAGTTTGTACCAGTCAGTGTAACATCCAGAGTACCCTACAATACAGCAAGTCCACGGAACTACCTTCAGAAATGCATTCCATATTCACAGCATTATTCACAGTCACCCAAATTGGAAACAACCCAAAGTCCATCAACTGGTAAATGTATAAATAAATGTGGTATGTCTATACAATGGAATCTCATTTGGTGTTAAAAAGCCTACAAATACTAACACATGCTACAACATGGATGAGTCTCAAAAACATTATACTAAGTGAAAGGAGCCAGATGCAAAGAACCACATATTGTATACTTCTATATACATGATATGTCCAGAAAAGACAAATCTATAAAAATAAAAAGTAGATTAGTGTTTACCTGGGGCTGGCAGTAGGAAGAAAGAGTGACTGCAAATGGGCACAGGGGATTGTTTGAAGTCTATGGAAGGGTTCTAAAATGGATTGTGGTGAAGGTTGTACAACTTTATAAATTTACTAACAAAAAAAAAATCATTCAATTGTACACTTTAAAAGTGTAAATTTTATGGTATATTATATCTCACTAAAATGGATTGTGGTGAAGGTTGTACAACTTTATAAATTTACTAACAAAAAAAAAAATCATTCAATTGTACACTTTAAAAGTGTAAATTTTATGGTATATTATATCTCAATAAAGATATTAAAATGCATCCTAGTGTGTACAACAAAAACGAGAGAAAATAATGGATCAATAAAATCTCATCACTGCTTATCTTAGAGAACATAGGATTTGCCTGACCTAGAAAATCCTAGATGGTTTCCTTGGTGGAGGGCAGACACTTCTAAGTTTAAAATATGGACCTTATATTAACTTCCACAGCAACCTCAAGAACCACAGATTAAGAGGATCTCTGATAGTCAAGGTACAATGGCCTCCTAATGATTGCTGAACTTCTGGAGATTCACAGAGAAACTCAGCAGGATAAAGACTCCTAATAAACATATTGGATATACTATATAATTCATTGGTTTGTATATTTTGTGTGGTTATAGTTTTATTTGTTTCATAACCCATTTGGACCTGGGAAATAAAAAAAATCGTGAATAGCATAAGCTAATATTTTCACACTAAATGAAATGTTAGTTAAAAGTACAAGCAAGTAAATGTTTATATGGTCCATCAGAGCATTATCAAGATTAAAAGTAATCAATTAGGTTAGGAGGACGAAAAATCATGCAAATGGTCAGAAAACAACCTCCCTAAATTTAAGAACATTTAGAATACATTGTACAGAAACTAACATTCAGTTGCTATCAAAATATTAAAGGACAGTGATAATGCTGTAATAACGTTACAAAGCACTATAACTTAAAAAAAAAAAAGAAGCATTCCATGTTCCTTTTCTTTCCACTCCAGGAAGGAAAGAAACACCTAGTCAGGCCTCATTCTCACAGCAGATATGAATCCTCTTTATTTTCCAAGTATGGAGAATGGACTATTCAAACAAAACTGAATGTTCCTAATAATTTGGTAATTTAACTTTTTTTAGATCAACTATTTTAATATTATGTTTTGATAAAAATATTTCCACATCAATTAAATACATTGTTTGGTTATAATGAGATGGGTTGTGTTTCCAAAAAAATTCTCTTCAAAATTACATTATTAAAACAACAGGTGTTTCACTGAGGAAAAGGCGTTTCTGCAGCACTGGCCCCCAAGAAGATAGAACCAAAGCCAAAACCCAACATGGACAAAGCAACTGACATTCATACCCACATCCTCCCTTCCCTTTCATTACAGAAGCCTATAGCAAACTCATTAATTTATGCTCTGGATCTGTCTTCTCCTCTTAGGACTTAAACTCCTACAGTAATCCATTTTCTTACATCAGTTTCTTCCTGCACATTGCTCATTCCCATCAGCACACAAAATGAGCTATCTTTTTTAAAAAAATTTTCTTACTACATCAGTTTCTTCCTGCACATTGCTCATTCCCATCAGCACACAAAATGAGCTATCTTTTTTAAAAAAATTTTCTTACTACATCAGTTTCTTCCTGCACATTGCTCATTCCCATCAGCACACAAAATGAGCTATCTTTTTTAAAAAACCAGCTACCACCAGTAAACAAAATCCTTGTCTCCCAGTCACCATGCAATTATTGTCCCTTTTTATTCTACTCCCCCTCATTGCATAAGCTTTCTCTCCATTTTGGATAAAAGAAGATTAAATATCTCTATTTTAAATATCGAAAATATCACATTTTAAAACTCTATTTTATAACTATCTTTAATGGCCTTTTAAATAGTTTTAAAGTGTTCTCCATAAATGTCTCATTCATTCGTCGTTAGAGTAATTCCTAACAGGCTTGTAGTTTTGGTTACCATTGTATATGATATTTTCTTTCATATTTCCCAACTGGTTATTACGGCTATAAAGGGACACTACTGATTTTTGTTTGCACATTAATCTTGTGCCCAAATATTGATTCTATTGGGGTTTCTATGTAGATAACCTGCAAATAATCAGAAGTGTTTCTTCCACAATTATTCATTGCTGAACTATATTATTGAATATTAGCTGTAGCAGCTGTCTACGGTTGTCAATTGCTGCTTGCACATTCTGAAATTACATCATTACATACATTCATGTTTGTGATCAAGCATATGTTCTCAGATTACTGCTCCTTTTATCAGTATCTAGTGTCTGTCCCTCTGAATTGTTTTCATGTTAAATAAGTTTTGATTATAATATTGCAACTCCAGCTTTCTTTGGTTCATGTTTGTGTGCTGTATCTTTTTCCATTCTGTCATCTTAAACCTTTCTAGCTTTTTTTATGTGTATCTCTGGCAGATATTACTGCAACTTGTCTTTTTAATACATTCTAAAGGTCTCGATGTAACCGTTTACATGTGCACTTGTTCGGTTATACCCCCTTGACACATTATTAAAAGCCGTCTCAACCTGAATTCTCAAATCCTTCTGTTTCTGGGAAAATTTTCAGTCTTGATTTCTGTACCACCTCAGCTTATTTTTTTCTCTCCTTCTGAGATCTTATTATACATACACTAACACTTCTCTACCCACCTTATTGCTTTTTCTTTTATATTTTCCACTTCTATTCTTTCCTGATACCTTGTGATTTATTTGATCTGATACTCTAGTTACTTCCTCATTCTTCAGTTGTATATATGTACTATTCACTCCACTTACTGAATTCTTAAACTATTGTATCTTCCATCTGCACTATCTCCTGTTTGTTATTCTTTATGGTTTCTTCTTCCTGCTTCATATTTCTAGTATTCTCTCCTATCTCTTTGAAAATATTTAATATGCTTCTGGGCTGGCAAGTTGGCTCAGTTGGTTAGAGCACAGTGTTATAACATGCTTCTGATTAAAACCGTATTCTGACTGCTCCACTAATTTTGCTTTATCTGCTCTATGTTGTTCAGTTTGTTACTTTTCTCTTTTAGTGACTACACTACAGACAGGGAATTCAAACTTCCCATCTGAATTCATACTCCCCAGGCATACTAGGCACATCAGCTGGAAAGGCAGATGAGGGGAACAAAGGCTAAATCCTACCACCACCTAGCTTTTGTGCCTCTGCTGATGAATGAGGGTTAGGGAGCAATGAGGGGATATACTTCTGGGAATAAGCATTTTGGTATTATGATCTCTAAATTTACCCTAATGCTTACCCCTTTTCAAATTCTGACTCCCTTAGTTAAAGTAATACAGCCCTAGGGATGTGAGGGACAATTCAACTCTCAGGAACCAAGGAATCCAACTCCACCTACTATTAGTTACTCCTCATAGGAGCTGGGCTACAGCTCTAATGCTACTTCCACTGCTTTTGGCTGGCATGAGCCAGCTGCAACTTTTCTGCCCTGCACCAAAAGGTAATACCTGGGTAGTACTCTAGCCCAGGGTAATGAGGGGAAGAAAAAAGGGCAAAGCTAAAAAATTATTTTCCACCCTAATTCCCACCTATGGAATTTTTCTAGTCTGGTCTGTTATTTCTTCCCATCCTGAGAAACCTATCACATCCTAGGTCGGCCCAGGGCTTTCTCACAATATATTAGTTTGACATACTCATCTATACCTTGTGGCTTCGGCAATGTCATTCCCAGAAGAGAGAGCCATTAACCCACACTCATTTGACA